ATATATATATATTCTTCGCCAATTAGTCTGTCATTGATCAGACAAATATGCTTTGGTAGTGACTTTAACATTTCTTTAAAAATTAATAATTATTATTATTATTATTATTATTAATAAATGTTTTATTTCGAAGACATTAGTCTGCCATTGATCAGACAAATATGTTTTGATGGCAACTTAAAAATGTATTTAAAAATGAATAAATAAAAGGAGATTATTTTATCATCTTCATATATTATTTATTATCAGTTCTTATACCTTTAGCTTGATTAAAAATAATAATAACACTTTTTGTAATCAGTTATTGTGTATCTGCATCTAATTACAAAAATATGTTTATAGAAAAATATTTATAGTAAATCAATATTATAGCATCATTTAATTTTCAGAGGGAATCTACTCCAATATCTATTTAACACATTTAACACATTTTCAATGTTCTGCTGCTGTATAAATCCACAATAATGTGTCTATTATGTATTCTGTGTTTGTGTGCTGTAATATGCTTTATCGTCCTCCTCTTTTCTCCATGTGTGTCAGTTTGTGGCTCATCCGAACTGCCAGCAGCAGCTGCTGACGATCTGGTATGAGAATCTGTCGGGTTTGCGGCAGCAGTCCATCGGGGTGAAGTGTTTGACGGTTCTGGGCGTTACTGTTGGATTGCCTTTCCTCGCCATCGCCTACTGGATCATGCCCTGCAGCAAGGTGACAAACACACACATATCTGCTTCTCTGGCTCTTCAGATGAGAAGACGACCTCTGAGTCAAGAGTGTTATTTCACACACTATCTTCTACATGTCTCCGGGCAGTTTTAAACACACTGATGTGGCATTTCTGTCGCATAAGATGACGACATGTTAGTGTAGGTTTCCTCGTTTCATGTAATTTAGTTTTACATGGTCATTTTCCTTCTCTCTGACCCTTACATTGTGTCTGAACCACACAATGTCTCTTTAATAGCTATTTTTGGCCACAACCAGCAGCATCAGTTTATTTCTTTCATCTTTTATATTATATAAAAGAAACAAAGTAATTCAGGCAGGTCTTGACCGCATTACATGTCCATATCACTTCACCACATGATTTCAGTTATTTCAAAGGTCTTTACTTTAGCCTACAACAGCAAAAGAACCAAAACTCACAACAACACTGACCAAGAAAATAAATATAGTAAAGAACAGGATAAAAACGACAGATTTTCATGTTTTTGCCACAAAATTACATTGTATTATGTAAGGAAAACACCTACTCGCTTTCTCCCGCTCTCTCTCCCTTACAAATGAACACACATACAGTGCTGACACATACTCGCACACACGGAAACACACACGCGCACAGAAACGTGTTGGCGGCGATGCTCTGACAATTTTATCAGTAAAATAGTTTAGCAAGGTAAAAGCTACATGTCATTTCTCACTAGCAAGGTAAATAACGACGCTGTTGTTGGAGCAGATAAACTGACAGAAGACACACAGACTCAGAAGGTAATTCACACGCTTAATCTCTGTCTCTCTTCATAACCGCATTAGTCTGCTATCAACGGCTCAAGCCTCCGTTACTAGGTCTAAAATGACATTTTGGAACTAGCAACAGAGGCGTGGGATGAGATGCGTTAGAAATTAATCCTACACACAAGAGTGTTTTAAGACAAGAGTGTTTTTAAAACAAGAGTGTTTTAAGTCACAAATGTCTTGAAATACATCTGAACAATATGTAAGGTGTGGTAACCGTAATATTAGCAGAATAATTGATGACAGGCTGTTGAATTATTAGAAAATAATGCACACCTGAGGTGTAATTTTGTAATAATTGAACAGCCTGTTGCCAGTCATTCCATTATATTATATTATATATTATATTATATTATATTATATTATATTATATTATATTATATTATATTATATTATATTATATTATATTATATTATATATATATTTTTTTAATAAAGCTTTGTGGGGAGAAATGTCTCTTATCATTGCAGTTTAGTTTCAGTAAAGTTAGCAAGAAAAGAGCGTTTTACTTCAAAATAGCAAGAAAATCCAATTTTCCCTGATAAGACCCCTTAAAGATCATATAATAGGTAAAAGCTTTACCTTTTCCATAATCACACATGAATAAACACAGACACACACACTGACACTCTATTACAGACCTACTCTCCTACAAGCACAAGCACAGATACACTGTGAATGAGGAGATGCACACTGACTCTGTGTTTGATGGCCGCTTCAACACACACCATCGCATGGAGAGATATGAGACACTATACACACACATGCGCCGGGCAGCTTTTGTCAAGGGTTTGGGATTGAAATCTAATCAGAGCTTGTTAGACAGGAAGTGCTGTGAGTTTCTAGAGATGTGTGATACACAAAGAGAGAGAGAGAGAGAGAGAGAGAGACAGAGGAGGGGGAAGAGCATTTGAGGTTCTCAGGGAAAGTGTGTATTTGCACTGGTTTGGGTGGTTTATGAGGGCACAAATTTGTATAATGTCGTGGGTATTACAGGTATTACAATGTGAAGGTGGTTTATGAGGACACTTCATGTGTCCCTGTAATTCAAAAGGCTTAAAAAACATACTAAATGCTGTTTTATTTTTATTTTTTGAAAATCAGAAAAAATGCAAAGAGTTTTCTGTGAGGGATAGGTTTAGGTGTATGGTTGGGGTAGGGCGACAGAAAATACAGTTTGTACAGTATAATAACCATTACACCTATGGAGAGTCCCCGTAAACCACACATGCAAGAATGTGTGTGTGTGTGTGTGTGTGTGTGTGTGTGTCATTTGAGGACAATATTTAATTTTAAAATGAATAACTTTTAGGATTAAGATTAATCCATAATAATTATAATTAGCTTTATATGAAACAATAGAAGTCCGTGGTGGTGTGTTCATTTAGATAAACGTGTGTTTGTGTTTCTTTATGCTCCCTCATTTGCTCCATTCCAAAACATAAAGTTAAATTGTTGAGTGACATGATACGGTCAAACAGAACATATATTGTTTCAAAACAGTAAAACAAAAAAAAAGGTTTGGGTTTAAAAGCCTGAACTAGTTAATTCAAGAAATCAGCAGCCTAATAAAGAGGTTGACTAGCACAACATATTTGATGTATTTTGAAAATACAAAAATGCTAAACTTAAATTTATTTTAAGTGCATGTATCTGAAACACTCCTTATCCTTGCATGTTAGCATCAAATTGAAATAAGTTGTGTGATTCACATGAAGAGTTTATGTGATGTTACCTATGTATAGTGTTCTTATTCAGTCACTTATGAGGGTCCATTTCAGTTAGGATGCTCCCTTATAAGAGAGCTGCCTATGCAGACAGTAAGACAAGAGTGTGATTACATCTTATTAAAGTGTTTAAACTCTGACTGTCTGAGAGAGAGAGAGAGAGAGAGAGAGAGGTGATGAAAGCCAAGCAGACAGATGAATGCCCGACTGATGATGATGAAGATGAAGGTATTGTGTGCAATACACTTGAACTCGAGGGCAATCAAAACCTTCATGTCATCTGTGCTGAGAAAATCACTGAATACAAATGATTGATTTTGGAAAAAGTTTCTGATGATCTTTCTGAGAAAAATAGTTTCATAAACCTCCAGTAAGAGCTAATTCATCTGAGAGAAAGTTCTCTGTTATTGTTGAATGTGTTTATATATGTGACCGAATCTTTAAAAGAATCAATATATATCACAGTAGAATTATTCCATACAGATTTGTGCAAGTCTCTAGCTTATAATCAGAAAATCAGCACTAGGAAATTCACCTCACATTCACATTGTCTTCATGAATTTTGATAAGTCACACTTTAAAGGAATAATTCACGCTCACGTTGCACTAAATCTGAGTGACTTTCCCCTCCATCATTGTTTGTTTTTTTGTGTTTTATTTTAGTCACAAACTTAAAGATAAATACTTTGAATTATTAATTAAAGTGCCCCTATTATGCCATTTTTAAGGTTCCCTAATATTGTTTTAAGAGTCTAAACATGCTTTAGTTTTCTCAAAATATGTATTTAATATCACCTCATTTTCCAACGATTCTCAAACGATTCGTTCAAAGCAGTTCTGAGATTCAGTCTCTCTAAACCCCTACTTTCCATGAGCCTACTCTGCTCTGATTGGTCAGATGGCCCAGTCTGTTGTGATTGGTCTACCGCGTATAGTGCGTGTCGGAAACAATACGCCCATAGCCATAGTTCTGTATTTTGAACGCTCTATAGAAAATATAAACATACTTACAGATTGTGATTCAGTAGAGCAAGCTGGTCCAAATAAACTTGAGCCATCTTTCAAGAGCAAGCGTTTTGTGAATCCCACGTTGAAGACTAGAGAAGCAGTCGTCAGTAAAATGACGGGAACACAAAAAAAGATTGGGGTTGTACTGCTGTGGAACAGTGGAAAAAAAATAATTTTAACCACTGATTCTTTGCAGTCTCATCATTCGGAAGTGAAAATAAAACAAATGTACTTTCATAGTGGCTTCTCGACATGATGTTAACCACACAAACAAGCTACAGTGTTTGTGGGTGGGGTCAAGTTGTTTGCGGTCGGCCAACGTAGAACATAGGTAGGAATTATAGAAATGTGTTACCCAGTGACATGTAGCAGTCACATAAGAAGGATTCGAATACTGACGACTCGTTAAGGCTGTACAGAGTTGATTCTTTCTTTTGGGAGACAATAACTTTATTTATCAGGCACTTTTGTCTTTACAGCTTTACAGATTGTTTACACACTGCATGAAAGGCAACATTCGAAATGGCATAATAGGGGCACTTTACCATCTTCGTACCCTTTGATTTACATTAAGGGCTTCATTCATTCCTATTTAAAGTTATATTATCTTAGATTTGTATGTACTATTATATAATATCTCATATTCATCTCTCTCCCTTTCAGTTGGGTCAGATATTACGGAGTCCCTTTATGAAGTTTGTTGCTCACGCCGTGTCGTTCACCATCTTTCTGGGTCTGCTGGTTCTGAACGCGTCGGATCGATTCGAGGGTGTGAAGAATCTCCCCAATGAGACCATAACAGACCATCCACGGCAGGTGTTCCGCGTCAAGACCACACAGTTCTCCTGGACCGAGCTCCTCATCATGAAATGGGTTCTGGGTAAGGCCTGGGTCAGGGTTTGTGTGTGTGTGTGTGTGTGTGTGTGTGTGTGTGTGTTATTCTAGTTCTAGTCGGTCTGCACAGGTAATGGAAGGTAAAATTATGCTGATTATAGATACATTTCAGTGATCTCTTTCACCACATCTGTATGTGTGTGTGTGTGTGTAAAAAAAAGAAACGCATGTTTTATTCTATTTTGAGAGAACGTCATTGTCAAGTGATTTGATTTTATAGTAATTTAATTAAATAGTAATAACTTTACTAATATTTTACATATTTAGGGATTTGAACAGCCACTGGTACTGCAGATATGAATTATTTCTCAATTCATTCAGTTTACTGAGAGATGTGCTATTACTTTATCATTTTTAAAACCTATACTTTTTATTATACATTTTTTTATCGTTTTATCAGTGTCCATTAGAATAACTCACAATCGTTAAAAGCAGCCGTAAAATGATGTTTCTTTCATTATGGGCACTTTTGACCTGTGGAGATAACAAATACAATTAAAACACACTGTTCAAAATCTCACTAGTTATTTCATTGTTTCATTGACCTACTAAGAGTTTCCACCAGTATATATATGGTAGATTTTTACAATCTGTATCTAAGACAAGAGTTAAATGATAAACTGCGTTCTACAAGACATTTCAACTTCCAACTTATTATATACTGTAGAATAAATTGGGACTTCAAATATAGTTGATTTGTTTGTTTATTTATAGACAGTTTTTTTAAGTAATATTTGTAATAATATTTAATATTATTTATTATAATTATTATTTTTATATCTTTTTATTTATCTGCATCTAAGACAAGGGTCAAATGATTTGTATTATAGTTTGTTTGTTCATTCATTCTTTCATTCATTCATTGTTTCTGAAGTCTGAAAAAGGTCTTAAGAAGTCTTAACTCACATTTCCACATATTGAGACCTTAAAAGGTCTTAAATCAGAGCAGAAAGTCTTAAATTCATGAAGTCGTGACATTAAATGTTGCATGCATTTCTAAAAAATAATATCTTCCTCAGTATTTTTGTCTTGTTTTACAATACAGATATCTTTGTCTAAGTCTTGTTTTCTTAGAAATTTTACAAAATTAAATGAGTTTATGCTTAAAACAAGAACAAATACCTGACAATTGGGTGGAAAAAAAACTAGTTTTCCCTTTGAATTGCAGATATTTGTTCTCATTTTAATCAAAAACTCATTCATTTTGATCAATTTTTAATTAAACAGTACTTCTGATCTTATGTTGTTTTGCTTCTCAAGTAACTGGATCTTGGTTTAAGAATCTTAGACAATTGCTCTGGAAAACATGACTGAAATACTGAGGAAGAACAGTAGTTTTTTGCAGTGTGATCAGAAGCTACAGTAAAAATTTTTTTATCATAGTCTGGATTTGAAATTGTTCTGTGTGTGTGTGTGTGTGTGTGTGTGTGTGTTTCAGGCATGATCTGGTCGGAGTGTAAGGAGATCTGGACTGACGGGCCGCGTGAGTACGTGATGCACCTGTGGAACGTTCTGGATTTTGGGATGCTGTCGATCTTCGTGGCCTCCTTCACTGCTCGTTTCATGGCGTTCCTCAAGGCGTCTAAAGCTCAGCTCTATGTCGACCTGCACGTCCCCAACCATGACATCAGCAATGCATCACTTCCCGCTGACATTGCCTACTTCACATATGGTGTGTAAATGCATGCAGAACTTCACATGTCTGTCTGAACTCTTGGCCACACCAACATTTAGGTGACTGGAAAAATATGAGAAAAATACAGTTGGGAAGATGGGAAAATCTGACGAATCCTGTCAAGAACATGTCAAGGTCACATTTCACCTGAAAATCAAATATAAGAATATTATGTTCATTAAAGGTCTTTATATGTTTTTGCAGTGACATTATTTGCATGACGAAAACCACATTTGAATCAGGGTTATTATAGTTAACTAAAGCTATAACTGAAACTCAAATGAAAACCATTAAAACAATTTTGTTACTTGAAATAAAATAAATGTTAACTGAAATAAAATAAAATAAAAAATGTAAAACGTTTTATTTCAGCAAGTTGTCAAGGCAGACTTTATCATTTTAATTTAGTTGAACTTGATGTACTAAAATAACTAAAACTAAACTAAAGATGTTACAGTAAATACATACAGACATATTAAAAAAACTGCTAAAAATGACAAAACCACACAACAAAATTACTAAAACTTTAACTAAAATTAAAATGAAACAGAAAATATTAAAACTATATTAACTATAAAAACTAATTCACAATATTAATAAAAACTGTAATAGTTTCACAATGATACTAAAATAACAATGATTTGAACATCAAATTATCATTACTTTAATTTATGTATTCTGTGAATACTGAAATACTATTAAAATTATTTTAATTTAATAAACTTTTTATTAATTTATTTTATTTAAATTTTACTAAAATGTATTCATTTAAGCTGTACAGATTTTAATGAATAAATGTATAATATAAAATGGTATTATAGATTTGACTGCCATATATTAAGAATTATTTTAATCATACTGTTATAAATTTTTGCACATTACAGTAATGAGAATTTGAAAAGAAAACGTCTCGGTTACGTATGTAACCCTCGTTCCCTGAAGGAGGGAACGGAGACGTCACGTCGGAGGACCGACGAAATTGGGTTCTCGCTTAGAGGGACCAATCTACTTCGAGTGTAAACCAAACGAGCCAATGCACATTGGCATGCGATTATTGCATCCAGCTGCTGCTGATCACAGCGTGAGAATAAGTAGGCATCAGGTGCAGTGCATATTCAGGTTTTCGCTGAGGAGCCGAGCCGGTGACCCGGCCTCTCAGCGGTGGTACAGGAGCTGTGGCGACGGGACGTGACGTCTCCGTTCCCTCCTTCAGGGAACGAGGGTTACATACGTAACCGAGACGTTCCCTTTCAGTCGGTCACTCTCGACGTCACGTCGGAGGACCGACGAAATTGGGATCCTACCAAAGGGCCACAGCTACTGCCCCTTCCAGTGTCCTGTGGAAGCCACCTGCGCCCCTATTTTTTGGCAAGCTCGAACCTTCCCGAAGGAGGGTTCGGAAGCAATACACAAATACACATACCTTAGGTGCATATGGAAGAATGGAGGTGATTGAACCCTCTTGGAATGGCAGAAGTCTGCCAGGGAAACAGGGAAACACGGCTATACCGTGGACTTTACACATATGAGATCCACTTAGG